TAGAGGAACACTATGTTCCGGCATCGTCTTGCTCTCAAGCAAATGGAACAAACCTATTAACTTGAAAGCTCACGCACGCGCTACGAAGTGTATGCAAAGGTCGTGAAGTTGCTTCGTAAGAACATTCAACGCCTCAGCTATTTTCGTGATATACACAATGAAACTGTGTTGGAGAGAATGAAGTTGTTTGAAATGGAATAAAACAAAACTAGTATTTCATTCCGTGACTCAAAACAATCTTCCTGACGTAGAACAACCAATTGCGTGGGCAGTTCTACAATCAAGTAAGTGTTTGGGGTTGGTGTTACGTTGTGAAAACAGAAAAATGAAGAGGGTAAATTGAAAATCACAACGTCCGTTAGCGCATTAAACATACGTTTTCGTAATAAAAATAAGTAAACTGAGTAAAATAGTTCACAGATATTAGAAATCTTACTACGGAAGGTGTTTAATTAGTATGTATTGCATTAAGTTTCCTTTGAAAAACTATTGCGACACCTACGAATTTAATATTCATATAAAGACTTAAGAGAAGAATCCGCACTATCAATTTATAAAGATGAGGTGAAGCCTTTCATGCATGTTATTCACTATGGTATTGTTTTGGGTCCCAAATGAATAGATTGTGGTCAATATTCATCAAAAGACAAATGAGATAGGCAGATGGAAAGATACTGTAAGATCGATTATTGCGATGGGGGGGTACGTCTGTCGTATACCTGTCATCGGATCCCCCAGAGAAACACAGAAAGTCAATGCACGCATCTCTTCATATATCACTTCGCTGTGTTGTTTGTTGAGTTGTTGTCCATTGTCAGTATTTACATCCAATTAAAATATAAATATATTTAAAGAGAATATAAGTTGTAAGGTTGCATGATGGCAGACAGAACATTGAAGACGATCCCAGTCCAGGAAAGTCAGCGAAAGTTCGAGTGGAAGAAAATGTTTCGAAAAGTGGCTGAAATTCTTCGAAATTATCGTTGCGCAACTACCAGGTTAAATGAGGAGCTCACTGAAATACCTGAAACAACTGCATCGCATTGTCATGGAAATTTGGGCAAAAAGATCTGTTGTCGCTTTGTGCCCCACTCACTCAAGGACAATCAAAAACATTGCTGAGTGGAACACTACAGAGACATGCAGTGATCTCCCGATGAAGACACAGATGCATCAAAACATATGATGAAACGTGGAGTTTCAGTACGAGCTACTTACAAAGCGCCAGAGTTCGGAACGGAATGGTTCAGAATCTCCGAAACCAAAGAAAGTGAGAATGAAGAAAAGTTGTTTTAAGACACTGCTCAGAGTTTTCTTTGATTCCAAAGAAATTATCCATACAGAAGTCGCTACAAAAGATCAAATGGTGAATGCACATTTCTACTCGGGTGTTCTAATTCGTTTACGGGCGAGTATTGTTAGGATGAGACCAGATCGTACGCCAATTCTTGGGTGAAAAAGGTATCCTTGTGCTTTAACCACCCTCCTTTTTCGCCGTATTTGGCTCCGTGCGACTTCTGGCTATTTCCCAAACTGAAAATGGCAATGTAGGGCGACACGATTTCCGGTTCCAGAAGGCTTCGACAACGGTCCTGTAGGCAATTCCAATTATTGACTATGAGAATTGTTTTGAACGCTTTCGCTCGCTTTCAGCTATATATTGACTAACAATAAGATTATGTTGAATAAAGAGCCATGTACATCAAAGCAACCAATGTACTTGTAACAGAAGAGTTATTACTATTCGCTCTTCACAAGCTGTTAACCATCCTTTCTCTATTTATTTGTATTCCCATGGTTTTATTGGAATAATTATAAAGAACTATCAGAATAAAACTGATAACGATAATTTATAAACGAAATTTGTTCCCTTGAAAGGAAAAACCTCGTGAGTTTACGGCAGCATTTATGAATGTTGCCGTTGTGAAACTGAGGGAAACGACTGTGTAAGAAAGACATTACCGCTCGGTGTTTCGCAGTGCGGTGAAGTGAAGTGTGGTGAAGTGGAGTGCTATGAAAGATTTCACGGTGAAATGTTCACGTTAATTTGTAAAGTTTGTAGATTTTGTCAAGTTGTTAAGTTCAGTAATGTTAAGTTAGTATATTCTGCCACCAAGTTCTCAAACTAAATTGCAGAACTATTATTAAATCTAATCTAATTTCCAGAGCACATATTTTAGCGAGGTATCCCTCTTCCATAGAGAAGTTACCCTTAGAAGTCACCACTTTTGGTAGGTCGGGTAACAAATTTACGTCATAGTGGGTGATGACATTGAAAGAGATAGTGTGGAAGCCATTTAAAAATGAACTAACTGTAAACGAACCCACTGACAAAATGAGTGCATGGACGTAACTTGCAGTTATGGTGTCAGCAATGGACAAGCAGTAGCTGCCAAAGCGGCCCCTTCTAAGAGTAATCTCTCTGTAACTTTGATAATGCGTGAAGAGATCCAGTCCACGGTTTTACGTAACTCAGTTGAGACGCTCTGGTTCTGGTTATGATAATGGTTCATTTTATTGGCAAGGGTTCAAAGACACCTTAAGAAGGTCTTACAATATGAACCTAAAGGTCAGAGGTGGCCTTTTGGGGTCCAAAAAATAAAGATGCGCTCTTTTGGTTCTTTGAATACTAGGTAATGAATTAAGACAGTTTCGACTCTATTTAAATGGAAATCAGCACAATACATCAAAACTAAAGCACGTACTTTCGAGCCCGTACTTTTACGCAAAATTACGCGAAAAGTATTCAAATTTTCGAAAAATTGTACATTATTTTATTTAAAATATATCTCAAAGGGGCAGATTTCGTTACGGGAAAAATATTTATCTTCATAATTGTAGTTGGAGGAAAACACCGAAAAAACTAAATTTTTGTAATTTTCAAAAAATTAGAGTTTTAAGGAAAATAAAATCTGCACTATTCTCTTAAAAATTCCTTCACAGTATATAACAACAAAAAGTAATAAAAAGCCACGAAAATTTTGAAAACTTCATCGTCAAATTTTTTTGAAAATTTGGTGCTTCATGTAAAGTACCCCTCAAAATTGAAATATCCATTTCAAATTCAAGGGTACGCAACATCAGCCAGATCGATAAGGGAATGTGAAGTTTAGAGCAAATTGTCTGAACATCTTAGTCGCTGGCGTTGTTCACAGATGGACGGGCAGACGGAGTGACAGACACACGGATGCACAGACGGACGGACGGACGGACGGACGGACGGACGGACGGACGGACGGACGGACGGACGGACGGACGGAACGGCGGACGGACGGACGGACGGGGACGGACGGACGGACAGACAGACGGACAGGCAAACGTTTTGTCATCATTCGATTTTTCGGTACGAAGGACCCACAAAACTTGGATTCTGGTAACATTAAATGTTAGAGGATTTTTATCTAAATTTAGCAACTGAATTTATCCACTTTTTCATTATCAGGGCTCTGTTCTTCTACCAAAAATTCGCCATTTTTTCGCGCAGCATTACACAAATTTTTCTCTACTGCGTAAGCGGTAGCAAGAAAGTAAAAAAGGTTCGAAGTATCGATACGTCACTGTTGCATTGTACACTCGTAGCATTATGAGGTTTCGTTGCATGAGCAAAAATGACAACAATAGCATACTTAAAGGAGCATTTTTATAGTATGGTGGATCTCATAAGACTAATATGAAAGACTTTCTCCTTAATCGGTCATGATTGTCACGAGATTGGTGAATTATTTGTTTGACAACTTTGTAATTGTGGATATTTTTTAGGTGTCCTTGTATAAATAAATTTATTTTGACAGAGCGGTGTTTTAACAGACAACGAATTTTTCAGTCATAGTAATTTGAATCAATTAAAGAACAGTGATTAAGAATCATTTAGAGAAAGCCATTTTTTCTTTTCATCAGTGAGTCTGAAGTAAGTTTCGTTAGCATCCATCGTGAAGACACGGACCATGGCTCAGGTAAAAAGAGGCTCAGGAACAAGGCATTTTGGGCAGCCCTAAACACCCTCGATAAACGCCGGCTGAAAATACCCTCTAGTCCAAACAGCATTAAATAAACAAAGCTCCACCGGGAACTGCGCGTGGTCGGCTCTGGGACGCGTGGGCGCGGAGAGCAGAGAGAATGGCGTGAAGATAGAGGGGCCGAAGGGAGAAGAGAGGAAATGAGAGGGAGGAGGGGAGAAAAAGTTAGGCGGTTATATTTAGAGAGAATGGAGGGAGGTAGGGTCGGAAGAAGAGAGAGATGGAGAGGGAGTGAAAGGGTGAAGAGTAGAGGGGAGGGAGAGAAAGGGAGGGAGAGAGAGGGAGGGAGGGAAGGGATGGAGGGGAGGGAGAGAAGGGAGGGAGAGAGAGAGGGAAGGACGACAGGAGAGAGTGGGGAAGGGGAAGGGAGAGAGTGGAGAGGGACAGATGTGTGGGAGCATGAAGTGTATGTTTCAGAAAGAGAAAGAGAGTGAGAGTGGGTGAGGGAGTGAGTGAAAAAGAGAAATAAATTATTTTTTAATGTGTGCACATCTCAGATAACTATAATTGTGTGCATCGTCCCTAGAAAAAACGATTTTTATGTGAAATTTTATTTATTTCACGAGCATTGATCATATTACGAGTGAATGCTCTTCAACATGGTGATCATCCATATATCTTGTGGAAATTCACATGCATGGATTAATGAATGCTTATTATACATGTTTTTGTGTGGTTGTTGACTATTATGTTCAATATGTATTTTATCCTTATCATGTCACTCGTCGCAAAATAATAATAGTAACAATAGGCAGAGTCGTGCAAAAACTTGTGAGTACTATTTTCTGAGTTCGTGACTAGGTCATCATACACACATTTAATAATTTCGCAGGTACATTGCTTCCAATTTTTAAAGCCGAGCAGATGTCAAATTCCTCATTATTTATTTCTATGCCCAACAAACATGCGCGCCATTTAATGCATGGACTCCACTCGTCACTATGGGAGAGATATGTAGAGAACGTGGGCGTGTGCGTGTTGCAGACATGAAGGACTTCGGCCACCTGTCCAGTAAGACTGTGACCGAGGTGCTCATGCTGGAGATGAAGATGGCGCCGGCCGCCAAGGTGTACCTGGTGTCCGGCTACCCGCGGAGCATGCGGGACGTCGTCGAATACTCCGAAAAAGTGAGTACTTGATCCTTTCCAGGACTGGGTTAATATACGCAGTAAAGGATCTTAACCTTTGTTCTACAACGTACGGGTCAAAATGACCCGTAGCCGCGAAAAACTCGCATGTGGGACAAGGTAGTGGAGGTAATTCGAAGGAAATGAAATTTTATCGTTCATTAAAATGATGAAAATGATGCATTTTGTAAAAAAGGGATTTTATTGTTTTCAAGAATGTTAAAATGTCTACTAATTTCACAAAAACTGTGTTTAGTACAAATGGTCCGACGTTGTAGTATGTACATTCCCGGCGTTTCACGTTGTAGATCAAAGGAAAAATATGGTCAAACTTTGGGTCTCCCAAATATCATTGAAGGCGTGCAATAAAAAATAGCAAGAAAATACTACATCTAGAAATGGGTGAACGTGTTGTACAGAAAAAGGCTGCACCAACAGTTTCCTTTTTATCAAAAGTACAACAGGAAAGCGCACCCCATAGTTTGTTCTTTAACAGAGTTTAGAGAGATAATTAGTGTTAACAAAACCCTTACTACTACGAATTAGAATACTATTAATTAACTGGTCAATTGTAAAAATGCAAGTGAGTTTTATTGAGTCGCACTGTTGTAAAATAAAATTTCCACTTGTCTGTTTCCATCAGTCGGGCTATTTCCTTGCTTTGCGTTCCTATACACCTTCACCGCCTGTGGAAATGATAAAGTATTCAAAGAACCTTCAGCTCGTTAGTGATATTTAATTTAACCGTCTACATACGTGCCAAGAGAAAAGAGAACACTGAAAATCGAAGCAGAAAAAAGTATTCCCTTAAAGTGAGGAGAATATCAATTACCCATACTTCTAGGAGAACCGACGATCTCATTGGATCAATAGTCATCGTGCGTCATACAGCGTCACCACACTCAAGCAGACATTTAACTAAAATATTCAGTATCGACCCAACAACATTATGCACCTTCCACGTATACGTCATTCCTATTCCTAGCACGTTTCCTACATCTATCTGCAATGAAGATAAATTCCTTTCGAACACGATATCTCTCTCTAATCATTAGAGGAGTACCGCGATCAGGACTCAATCAAAACATTCATAAACGGATACCCACTTTATTTCTAACGCTCTGGAAATTATTATCCGTTGCGCGTAAAAAAAGATTTGCAATGTCACAGAATACTTTCTTAGCAGTTTTTCGTTCAGTGTACTCGTTAATTTGACAAAAAAACGTTGCTTAATGACGTCTACGATTGGCACGCGTGCAATTAAAACTCCACAACTACCAATCAGAACTCAGAGACAGGGTAAAAAGCATGTAAAAAAAGTAAAAGTCACTAAAAAACCTAACAAAAATGCACTCCAAAGATTACTATCATCAATATGAAACATTTAGAATAAATATTTAATTACTGTTACTACTTAGAAATATTAATATTAAAAGTCCAATTACTGCAATTTTAGAATGTTTTGCCACCTACACTTAGTTGTGTTATGAAATATCAGTATCTTCAACATCTTCAGCATGGATACATACGGCCACAAGCACGTTGGTTCGACATTCTCTGACTAAATTAACCTAACGTATTTAATATGAGTAAATTGAATGAATAGATATAAAATGAATTAAATGAATTAAATGAATGAATGCATGAATTGAATGTATAAATGTAAAACATATTTGATGTACGCATTTCACAAATGCGAAAAGTATAAATCAACTGTATGGACTATTTCTGAAAAGGGTGGAAGCAAAACTTCTTGTGAATCAGAAGTGACTCGCTTTTCTATTTCCGCTATTTATAAATATTATATTATCGCTCCTATGCGTCTTCACTTTTGCTGGGAAGTTATCTGATTTGATCTGTATCTTTTGTTTTAATCCCGTTTTCTTACTGAGTGATTACGGCAATCAAGTAGGACATAATACAAAGCTCCCTTAGAGAATCTTGTTCTGACCATTCGCACAGTTTAGAACGAATGTGAGCCTCGGAAGGATTACATTTCATGCTGCATTATGCTTGCATGCAATTATTCTTAAATGAAAACGAAAACATATTAAACGTAACGAGAGGATAAAGGGGTATAATTGCTCTTGGGTATAAATACATAGCTGTTTCGAGTTCAACTACTCTCTGAAAGAGACTTCTAGCGGCCGGCTACACTGATCGGAAGTTTTCTGTGTTTCCTGCTTTCAATGCCAGAAGAATGCAGTACCATAACAAACGGGTGTCAGACTGCGCGCGATCTTTCCTTTCCCATCCATATTCCTTCTTTTCCCTTACACATCGTCTTACATTTACGTGTTGTGTACTTCCGTACGCGGAGGCAGAACACTGCCACCTTCCTGGATTCAACATGCACTACCCTTGCGGAACAAATGACCTACGACGTTGCGCCAGGAATGAAAAACGTACGCGTACACCTTACACGTAAGACTCGTCGTGAACGCCACACGCCTCGTAGTGAGTAAAGACGAGGCGGTACAAATGTGCTCCCTAAGGCCCAAACCTTGACGCCGGCCTGCGCGCGGTGCGTGTGCTTGGAGCGCGGGGAGGGCCCACTTAGCGCTGATGAATGCCGCTGCGATTGATTCCCTGAAGGCCCAGGCCCCGAGCCGGCCCTCTGCGCTACGGCCGGGAATCGATCGAGGGTCCGTGGGCAAGAGGGCTTTCAGCGAAAACTGCTGGGCAAACACACGGACCAGACTCGATAATTGGGGAAAATACGTCGTCCTCAGTTAACAACGGAGGGCCGCCCGTCTTATCCTGTGTAAGCAGACCTTCGAGTCTGGACAAACGAGGCCTCTGCATAGACTTTATAAAACCAATGAATTACTAGTTCGAAAAGAATAATTTTGATTTAATAACTGTTATTATTGTTATTACATAGACGTCTTCTAATTTTCTAATGTTAACATCGTAAAAGACAATAAATTAAACAATTAGAAACTTATTACACACTGGATAAATTGTTTTTAATAGTATCGTACTTATTCCTACCTTGTTTTCAAGCACATTAATCTAAATGCGGGCAAAAGTATGGCATATAGAATTAAGTGACATAAACGTGAAATTATAACTAATATTTTATAGCAGATACTATTTCAATAAATAAAGAAGCTTATTTCTCCAGAGATCAAATAACTTTAGATTCGTTAGCGGCCATTTCAAAAAGTTCTGAGTTACCGAATAAATAGTATAAAGAAGCCATTTCAAAGACACAAGCGAATTGGAAATTGATAACGTAACTAGATAAATAAATCAGATTTTCTTGTAGGTATTAAAATACGAGCAAGTTCGCACAAGCAAGCAGTGCAATTGATTATCGACAGTCAACAATAAAGATCTGATGAAGTTAAGATGATAATGACTTGATGTAGGTAACTTACGATGTGCGAAATACAATTGCGATTGTAGCTAATCATCAATGCCAAGTTTACTGCTGACCAATGTTACCTTTGCAATTGTCGAGTTGCATGCTATGAAAGAGATTGCGTTGATTCAATGATAATCTTGAAAAGTAATTTACGTTCAAAGCTGTTTGCTGGGCGTCTTATTAAGAACAATAATGAATGGATCTCCATCCGTTAATAAAACAATATTGAAAGTGTCTGGGGGAGATTCATCTCTCATATATCACCGATAACGTATTTTTTCACCACTTTGACACTTCGCTTCAACTGTAGTCATCGGTCTTGTTCTGCTTTGAGACGAACATGTACATGGTAAGGTAGCTTTGAAAGGTGTAATTTTATTTAAATGATATGAAAATTAACTACTCTAAAAATATGATAAAAGATGATCAAACATATTTCATGTCGACTTGACCCGGTGGAATTAATCAATGCGTGACGTGATGCATGTGAAATATATCGTAATAATATTTATACAGTCACGGGTTAGCGAAGATCGAAAATAAATTTGAATAGAATAATTACGAAAACCACAAAAGAATTTGAGCAGTAAACCTTGAAATATTTCTTTTGATTGTTATATAAAGTTTTTGCCTGAATGTATAGATTTCCATCAACTCAGTGATGATCGACAAGTTCAAGCGGGCACAATACCTATAATTAAAACTGTGAACAATAATTGTGTTAATTATCTCTCTCTCAATAACTGTGTTAATTATCTCAGAAATATAAACTATACTCACTACAATGTACTCGTAGTTTACACTATTTTATAAATGTTTTATCAAAGAATGTCTAACACATCTCACGTCTTCAATTTATCAGTAGTATTGAAAATTGCTCTAGGAAAATATTTGAAGGAAAGAAGGAATGAAAGATAGTAATAGAATATATAATTTTATGGAAATGTTTGTATTAACAAATATCTACATTGTGACTTATATACAGTTTTCCAGCACAAAATTGGACAGAATTATGACTTTGTCATTATTCCAATTGCTCGTGCACTAGAAAATACCATAATTAGTCATTTCATTATGTGATTGAAAAAAAGCACGTGTGGCAGCAATGGCGACTCTTTCGTCGATCCATGTCATTCAGCTTGCTTCGTTCCAATCCATATCCCTGGATAGACAAAAAAGAAACAGTGGAAGTCCATCAATCGAACTTGTGTTTCATCTTAATGGCATGCAGTTGGGTGGTGTACCAACGCAAGAAATGAAAGCAGGTAAATCGTAGAGGTGCAAACAATACACTGCATACGACGACGCGTTTTCCTTAGCTGTGGCACCGATGTGCAACAAGACACTAATCACGTATCCAGCTATTGCATTTCTTTCTGCGTTGCAACATATCCCTATATTCCTTCAAGCGGGAGTTGCAAACTTGGCTCGCGTCGGTTGTACATCTGTCACTGCCGCGAGTTCACATGGACTGTTACTTTTTCTCCTTATATTAAAGTACAGGGAGGAAAAGTATTGGAATCACCTCAGTACGATCTGGAATTTACGGTCATAAAATTCGCGTTTAAGGTACTTTAAGTTGTAATTTCGCATACACATCAGGATTGATGACTAGTAGGGTTTTTCTGAAGACGATTAAGATTGGTGCAGTTGGCAAGGAGATACAAGCCAATTTTGCACACGAAAAATAACATGGATCAATGGAAAGTTGTGCCACGCATCTGTACGCCTCCGGCAGTAATTTGGGTTAGCAAGAATCTATCATTCTTTTCTAAATATTTTTTTCAACTTTACGAAACATTGTCGTTTAATATTTTTTTCGATATACTGTAAAATATTGAAAAAATCACCGAGTTTTAATTAAGCGATATTTAATAAAATGGGAGTATAGAACATCGTATTATAATTAAATATCAGAGTATTATCTTAATAATTTCATTGTGATAATAATAATGTGATAATAATAATTTCATAAACAGTGAAACTTTTTCGATCTATATCATATCATTAAAATCTGGAGATTTTAAAGTCAAAATCTGACTATATTCTATAGGATTTTTTAAGCTTAGAAACTACGTACTAGGCGCTCATAATTTCTTTATTTTACTTTTGTATAGCACTCTCAAGGAAATTACGTCTGCATCGGAATACCGGGAGTTTCGTATACATATACTCTACGGGTTTCATCCTTTTAATATAGGGCATTTCAATAAATAAACCAAGTTTCCCCGGGCATTTCGGAGTCTCAAAGATGATTTTATTTTGAAAAGTTAAGTGGAAAATCTCATATAAAAAATTGCACAATTATGATATTTGACTGATAGCAAGGTAACAAATTGCATACGGTTATTCGTTAGCTACACATTCTAAAGCAGGCGAAGAGATTTCGTTTACCTGTCAAAGATTAGTGCAAGAGGAGTTGTCAGTCAGGGGCAACTGTTTCATGTGTGACTTCACTAAATGAGATTTCTCCCCTTATGTTCCTTAGCAAAAAATGATCTGCGATTCTCTGAATATTCTACAAGATTGTAACATTGATTTTGAGACATTCTTTCTGTTACAATTCCGATATACGAGAATCGTTACATTTATTATGGGACATTCTTTATGTTGCAATTCCGATATACGAGTATCGTTACATTTATTCTGAGACAATCTTTATGTTGCAATTTCGTTATACGAATATCGGTACACTATTCTGAGCCATGCTTTATGTTGCAATATCGGTGATAAAAACCAGCTGGCCAAATCCCAGTGTGGGTGGGCTGGGGGGGGGCGAGGGGGCCTACCTGTCTAGAAGGGGCCGCCGGCGGGCGCGAGGGGCAGGCGGCTGCGCTTGCCGGGGTTGTCGTCGCCCAGCAGGTGGCGCGCCGCGAACGCAGAGTCCAGCGCCTCGCCGTACTCGCAGTTGTGGCCCATGCCGCCGCCGATGTAGCACACGGAGCGCTTCCTGCAAACGAAAGCCGAGGCTGGCAGCTCCCACTCGCGTAAGACTTGTCCACTTGGCGAGCGATTATCTGATACCCACTGCTTGGAATGACACTAGAGGAGGGAAGCCTCTCGGGTGCGATCGGGACAGTTTAGTGAAAGGGCAACCGCGAGCCCTGTGATCCATTCTGGTCACACTTCGTGCATTTGAGCAGCACTGACGTACTGTTTCTATTACGCTAATGTATGCAAGAGTTCTTCATATAACACTGCAAGAGGGGATGCTTGGGGAGGAAGGCTCTGCCTGCATGCCAGTTTCAATAATCGTGCCGACTGATGAAGTCAACTTTGCGAGACACAAGAGACATGCGCGACACACGGCACGAACTTACATACGACAGCTTGTTAATCCGAGAATGTGAATAACGCTCATCTACCGTGGCCACGTCCTTTGCAATGTTTACAATGATGTCGTCGACAGCAATTTTTAGTACCTATACCAGCATATTTGTTTCAGGTAATTTGTTTCGCAACTCAATTGGAAGACGAATCATTATGTGAACCCTTTCAGAAGGTCTTCTGTCGAGTAAACCTAGTTAGACTTATTTTTTTGTATTTTTGTACTAAGTTGATCTAACTAGTTTTAATTTTATTTGGTTCATAGAACATTCTCATTTTCCTGAGCCTAAAAGTTTGTCCTAACCAATAAATCTCACAGAAAAATAAACCGAGTCTTATAGAGCGAAAATAAATAAATCCAGCTGTAAATAGTAAAAGTTGAACCAAAGAATAAGCCAAAGCGCCGTAAATGATGAGAGTAGTATATGCAAATCACGTCTAAACGCACAGAAACAAGGACTCTTATGAATTTGAATCGATTTGACGGCACAAGTAGATGATGTCGACTGGTACGTGTCCGTTGCGAGTCGAGCCTCAGATCCTCAACGCTATTCAGCCCTGGACTAGAGGGTACCGATACCACAAAAACCTGAGCGCAAAAAGACTCCCTTGCCCCCAACTCGCGAGATGCCTGACCGGATATTGGTAATCAACTGCCAGTGAAGCGATACTTGCCTGTTCAGAGGAGTCATGAAATGGTGAACTATGAAAAGTATATTCGTCTATGATTATGAGATAGTATATGGTTGCTTGGCTTCGAACTCCAAGCGAAATTATTACAAAATAAAAACATCCATGCATTACGTGGGAATTGCATCTACAATCCTGGTCCAGAATACTGTAGCGAATGTATCATTTCGATCAGCCAAGCAGCTGTTACTTGGAATAAAGCAAGCTGACCTAGGTATATTTTTGTACCAGTTTACTGGTTCAATGAATCTACTTGGTTGAATTGCGATTGATGAAATTTTGTAATAATTTATGTATAATCGAACGAATAAAATAGTATATTTATTCTTAATCTATGTGTAAAATGTTGATAAGATATTTCAAAGGCAAAAATTGGAGCTCCATAAATATTATGAATAGGATGTTTTTCATAAAATATATTCATTAGATCAAAGTACTCTAAAAAATAGCACAAAGGTCAGGGATGCACTCTTAATCGAGATTTTCGTGTGTCTAAATATTTCCCCCCATTTTCATGCTCTATCACTGCACAGATTTGTGAAATTTGTCAATTTCAATACTTACTGTACAAATTCGATATTGCTGTTCATTTCATCAATGATTGCCTTGAGGAGTTTCAGTGCTTGCCTGTTTTCTTCAAAGTGTTTCATGTGGCTGTACAAAAGAAATGAAAGTTAAGAAAAAAGAAATCATTTTCAGTTTTTTTTTATAGTAAATTTGTGATGTAACTTATTTTCAACCCTCATTGACTACTAATATTAAGTTATAATGAAAGAATTTGTTGAGAATACGACTATTAATTTGGATCATTATTTACCGAACAAGCTTAAACGAACGAAGTCGACTCACGTTCTCCGCGGGTGGGAAAGAAAACCATTACTTCAAGTAAAATAAAATAGTATTCGACTTATTTCTATCCTCTGTTCCAAAGTTCACTGTTTCAAAGAACTAATTGCTGAATTCAAAATGCTTAAATATAAATTTATCAATGTTTTAAGATTAATTCTGATGTAAAAAAGAGAAATTGAACTCTATGTGTCGTATATAATGAATCATTTATTTGAGAAAAGGCGCAAGGCAAAAATGACAACACAGTGTGCAATGTACAAATCGGAAGACAAGTCAATGATACATGTGCTTGTTGTAAAATAAAATGTTTACTCCATCCTTATTCAAAGTTTCATATAAATATCTCAATAGAGTTCACAAAACTCCGTTCAATGTCTGTCGATGTTCACATCGTGTCATTACAGAATATAATAAAAAACACAAAAACACTCAAAATATCTTCTAGAGCACAATATTTTGGTTTAGAGCATTGCATTTCACCAGTATATTTATATTCCTACTCATTTTCTTGCACACATTTGCCCGGAAAAATATTTGTTATGCAACACGAGTTCCACTGTATTCTACCTCGAAATCATCCTTCAATCTATTGCAAACTACTGAAAAGCCAATGTTAGAAAAAACGTTAACTACTCTTCTGCAAGCTGCAGTATGGAATTAAATCCACTCACCTGTCAATAAGACTTTGAGAAATATCTCGCGGCATGGCCATCGTTGCTGCGACCGAAGCAAGGAAGACTACCAGAGTGAAGGAAGCCATTGTGCTGGAATAAAAAAAAGGTGAAACTCCCTTTCTTAAATTTCGTCCAATTAAAGAAAACTTAAAGTAATGTTTGGAAAGAAAATTTGTTTTAATATTTGATACTTGGGGAACGTTTGTCTAATTTATGACTATTAGATTTTCTTGACAATTCAATCTTTAAAATTAATGTTTTAAACAGTTGGAAATATTGAAGAAATTAATCAGACAAACTTTGAACAAATGTTAAATTTAAAAATATCGACTTTTAAACAAAGTCAAAATCTGAAGCAAAATTAACATATTTTTGTAACGTTACCTGCGGGCGGTGGAGAAGCCGATGTTAAGATGCAGAGAGCAGAGGAACTAGTGGATGCTGTGTCTGCGGGACCGCCCGCTTTTATACGCTTGTTCCCCCTGCCAATCTCGGAGACGTCAGCCAATTACGCGCGTGTGGGGAGAGGCGCCCCCCTTCGCAGCGAGACTCGAATTGGATTCGCGTTTCATTTCAGTTGGTTTCGGCCTTTGTCAATATGTGAAGAGATCTGTAAACAACGGAATAATTGTTGCGAATATTCCACAAGCAAAGAGCTTCTATCAATGTCTATGTAAACCATCGCTAAACCAACTTACATCCAATTACGGATAATTAACGAAAGTTTGAAAGTTTACCGTTATATTTCTTTACATTTACGAGAATATAGCCATTTACTTACATTACCATTTACGCCATTATTTCTTTACATTACCATTTACCAAATGTGAAAAGTCTAAATGCTCAATGACACCAAGTTTTTTCTAGGAAGTTGAACATCGTCATCAGGTACTTTCTGTAATTCTAGAATTGATCTGAATATGAGAATAAGGGTTAAATCTGCATTTAGAGAAACTAAATACGTTGAAAATTGAATTTAGAATCCTTTAACTAGTGCTTTTTACCATAAAGCTTCTAAATGAAAATATACTTAAACAAAACTTATTAACATCTATTTTTTAAATAAATAGCAACAAAATACGCTTCTTAATTATATTGTGTGACATTGGAATGAAAATAAGCAAGTATATTTTATAAATATTATTCTTTTCAAGCTTTTTTACTACCATGTACGTAATATGAGATTATAGTTTTGATTCCCTTTTTTATGAATTTTACTTATTATTAATTTAATTACTATGAAAAGTTGGAGAAAACTTTGTTTACTTTTTAATTTTTTTCACAATATTGAGATATTGCGTTAAAGACGTACAAACTCCAGTTATACTTGAATAAAGAGTAGACTGTAATAACATATTATCTATTAAAATTGCTTTTGTATTTGTAAGCATTTACTGCAATTACTACGATTTCTTTCAAATTATTTCTAGCAAAAGATTCGGAATTGTGTGAAGCTCAACATCAACATTAACTCTCTTGAGGGCCAATTTTTAAGAAAAAAATCAACTACTGTTGAACATATTACTACTGTAATTTTTAAAAATATTTGTGGAATATTTAAAAACCTCGTAGCTATGGAAATTATACCGTCGGTTCTACCTTAAAATTTTATCAGCCCCTACAATGATACGTAGATGCGGTATTTGTATATTGATTTAGTCTGCTATGAACTCGTACATTGATTTGGTCTAATGTGTTTCTAAAAAGCATATACTGTTTTAAAGATTTTCTAGAGAGGCTAGAAGCACTTTAAACTGATCACTACTTTGGGAATCTAATTAACACAAAAGTAAGAAAGAAAAGATAAACATGAGAGAGAGACGGAGAGAGAGAGACGGAGAGAAAGAGAGACGGAGAGAAAGAGAGACGGAGAGAGAGAGACGGAGAGAGAGAGAGAGACGGAGAGAGAGAGAGAGAGGGAGAGAGAGAGAGACGGAGAGAGAGAGACGGAGAGAGAGAGACGGAGAGAGAGAGACGGAGAGAGAGACGGAGAGAGAGACAAAGAGAAGAAATGTGTTTCGAGAAAATTGTAATAAGGAATATTTTAGTATTTTTGGAAAATATTTTTTGTGGATAGATCGCCTTGGAAACTATTTCGAGATATATTATACATTGTTAATCATTTAAAGTCTGTACTTATGTTTATATTATTGAATTAGGAAATGAATGTCCTCGGTATGTGTAATAACTGGTGTTCTGTACCAGTAAAAATAGCACGTACCAATAAAATTTATTTTTCCAGAAAATAGCACGTACACGTCTGAAGAACAAAAAATACAAATTCTCGTATTACACTGTTGTAAATTAAATTTTTTAACAGAAATAAATAATGTGGTGTAGTATATATACAACATTTCTTATCACTGTACTTTACATACTAGAAATATAAAAAATGGTGCTGTTCCACAACGCAACACGGGTTGGGCAATTATTATACTTTCGAACGTCTTCCTTGGAGCTTTGCTGACATATGACGTCACATGTTATGACAAGCGACTCCCTAAGGTAAGAATTCAGTCGTAACGCGCAGTATGATAATGGAAGGAAGCACACAATCAAGCACTTGTGTTTATCAGATAAAATCAAAACTGTTTCATTGTTTTTTGGATTTTAAAGAATGCCTGTGTGTATAACAATACATACAACTCACAGGGTAGAAGCGGCGTAGTTTTCTTTCAATTTCTTCGCGCATTGAAAATTAGTAAGAGAGATGTTTTTGTACTTTTTCCGGAGTTCCTGGGTATGTAACGAAACTAGAGCTTACATAGTTTTCTTTTGATTCAAGCTTGCATTGTAAATCAGTAATATAGATGCCGAAAAAGTGAAATGTTTACATTATTATCATGTTTCCTTTAAACTATCATGGTCAATACTCTATGCGGTTAAGATCGAATATATCGAGATGATGCAATCGATCCGAAGAGGGTTTCGTGACCAAGTGACACGGCATGACAAAGTAGTTCTGCCTGTATTACTGTTTGTCACTTGTGGGATTGGTAGCTGATGGAAAAGAAAATTGACTGTTTTCTGCTCATTGTAATTGATTTTCTCTGCTCTCCATAAAACTATTATTGGGTTGCTTATGAAAAGAGAATAATAAACAATGCATGGATGAATTCGAGGACATTTATCATGAATAAAAAGTGACCAGAATGAGAAACACTTTTCCCAGATACTTTTCATTTAGGAGATACCTTGGCTACAGTTTTAGTGACATTTTTCTACACATTTGTAGCGAATTTGCATGATTTTTGAGCTATAAGGAAACTCTACCTACGTTTTTATCTTGGTAATGGTATAATTTTCCATTTCATATTTAACTTTAAAAGTTTGATAAAAATATGTATAATGACCATCATGCAAAGTACTTTGCACGTCGAGACACCTTGTACTTCGGGGCACCAACCTTACAATGGGTAAGGAATTACGAAAATATTGAGGGTATTCACGAATGACAAGTATAGGAAGATTGTGTAAATGTATAAATATACTATAAAACACGTTTTGCATAAAGAACTTGAGCCAGTTTAAAATAGCTTTCTTTTATGTTCTTTTTAATCTTTTTGCAGGAGAATTTTTAATTTCTCCAATGCTTCTGTGATAAAGATTGGCATGACTGTAGTTTGAAACGCTTGAGCTTCCGTTTTGGCTTTCTCTGGAGTGTCTCACAATTACCATGACTTCCCTTGTTATCGGGTAACTTTCTTGACTTTTCGTTATCCATCTTTTTAAAGTATTCATTAACAGTGTAAATATAATGCAAATATGAGAGTTTATGAGTAAATTATGAGTATTTCTCTGTGACATGCGAGGATGCTCATCATTTGTTAATGTTTTAGGTAAGCTTTTCCTTGAATATACCTATCTTTTGCATTACTTCTCAAATATTCACAAACTATTAGAACTACAAATATAGAAACTAATGCACTATTTAGTGCTCACGAAACTTTGCTTAGTTATGTAGACAACCAAACTTGCAAACGTAAATTTTACTTTTGATTTCAGGTATATGAATTCTGGTAAATATTTTATTTCAGAATAAACAAAGAGGCTTATAAACAAGTTACAAATAAAAGCGACAGTGTTGCTCCCATCTCACATTAAAAATACAATTTTCTTCTCTGCCAATATTTGCAAAACCACAGGTAGCTCGATATACAAAGTGGTCAAAGGTTCAAGTGTTTCTCCTAATATTTGCAATAAATTATAAATACAACGATGAAGAGAGTTTCTTTCAAAATAAACATCGTGATATTTTTTGACATTATGTATTTACTCTTGAGCCAGTACCAAATATTTTTTCGAAATTTTCTTTTCCATCAAGGTAGGCGAATGATGTAAACTTAAACATAAGTATTAAGAAATAATTATTGCGTGAAGGGATTTCAATGATTAAGTGCTCAATTTGGCAATGCATAAATGTATAATGTTGTGTCTGGAATGCTACAAATTCTTTAATGTTGCTTATTTTTTATATCTCTTAGTATTCACTTACTAAATTTTAATTACACTTATTTCAATATTTCAGGAACTTTTCTAACCTAGTCTGCATATTTGGAATGTTGTTAAACAACAGGCGCAACTGAATGATTGTCAGTATATGCATTATAAGTTTTTCTGACTAAAGGTTTTGTTGTTTATTTTGGTAATGTTTCTGAGCTACATTGTAAAATTAACCCATCTTACACATTATTTTCTATAATTTCTTGTGATGAAAGAAGGAGAAAATGTAAAATTAGCAACCAACATACAAATCAGCAAAATTGTGAACGCGCAGTACTGATTGTTCATAAAGTTATTTGCATTAGAATTGCAATATAGAATTTTCAGTTAATGATAATTGGTTTCGTAACGCGATTTAGCTTCACAAGGTATCGACAATGTGCTACATTTGAGGAAGCTATAGTTGGTTGTATGCATGTGTGCTGAAATATGACTTTCACCTCCAGCGACCTCCTCGTTGCGTGCAGACAGTCTCATCAGATAGGCGACGAAACACGAGTACTTTCCAATCTCGGTCTATGATTTCTGTAAGCCCCTCCGGTTCTAAAATGTTGATAGATAATTCCAGAATAATAGGATAACAGTAGCTTTCAATTGGTAAACATTTCTTAGAAGACAAACTTCTAAAGGTCGCTTTTCAACAACTGGACCTTATAGTGACCCCTGTGATTTTTTAACTGTTGGGGGTTGAATGGAAAACGCGCAGGTACAACACAAACCCAACCCAACACCTATGATCGAGGCGAGATTCAAACCTGCGACCCTACGAACCGAAGAAGCTACGGTCCTCATCCTTAGTCCCCTCGGCCGGCGAAGTTAAGCTTCGTTAATTCGAATCCCGACAAAGCAAAACCTTAACATTTCAAATAATGTCCTTTTTTTCATCATGGAATATATTAGGAATGCAGAAAGCAAAGTCGAGAATAATTTAAGGGTAAGTATTAAATAGAAAAAGGGAAAATATTAAATGACATGATCAGGCGCTTAAATTGCGAATGACTTGAACTCATACGATTGTAACTTCAGATCATGAAAAAAAGTTTTGTTTGATTTTAGGCCAATTGTATTAATGTCACTCCTCTTCCGATTCACCAAAGATTCACCAGACCGAAGATTCACCAAAGATTCAGAGACCATTCCGATTCAGACGAAAGAGGTTTCATTCCCCGCGACTCTACCTCTGGTGGGGAACTCACATTTGTTCTGTATATCCATCCAGAACATTCTAAGAAATATAAAAACACGTGATTTCTAGACTTCAAGCGACTAAAATGCGTTTTGGGTGAATTATAGAACCTATTGAAGTGATAAAATGCTCATTCCATACAAATTTTCACATAACTTCAAACACTAGGTAGTTCAAATTCCTCACTGAAATACAATTTCATAATTTTTAAATACCGGGGATGAACTCTACCAGTTAATTTAGTTTTTATTATGATTTCTTTGTTAGGTATTCATTGTCTTTAACCAATTTCGCGTTGTGCAGGGAACTAGAGAAAATAATCCTTTTTGTATCGCCAGGGCACTTTAAATTTGACCTATACTCACCCTTAACTTGGTTGAAACTGCTGAAAATTTAATATGGCTGAGAATTTTATTTAATTTTATAGAGTTTTAATTACCGCCACCAGGGAGCCGCCAGGGAGCGCCACAACAATGATCTCAGGGATTTTACGCCCTCTTTATGTTTAATTTTATTTCTTTTTTTGTTATTTAAGATGGCTTTAACATCTAAGCCATAACGACCACTATTCAATTTAACGTTATGGTAACTGTGAAGCTGACGTAATAAAGTGATCACAGGGGGTGAAAGTACGAACTCAAATACAACCATGTTCGAGGCAGGACTCGAACCCGCGATCTTTGAGTCCGATATCGCTACGAAGAACTATTCGGCTTTTATTTCTTCTTGCTCGACTTTTCTGTTTTTCAGAAGTGTTGATATAAGGTTTATATAACATTATAGGCTAAATCCTTCTCAGGTATAAGTGTCAAATTTCTGACTTGGTGTATTAGATTGACAGATAACATGATTTTACGCCCTGATAATCCACAAAACTCAACCATAATCGACTCTGCACTCTGGGAGTTGAGAGGCTAGTAGCAAAACCAGCCACTCTTCGAGATGCGCCCTTGATCTCAGAATATGCATGATGCAAAATTTGTGTTAGTTTTGCTGTTCGTGTTTCTATGTTTGAGTTTCTACACGAATACTTCAGTGTACATTATAAATAAACCCTGGAGCATTGAACTGTATAGGACGACCCTGCGTCCGATTCGATTGTCGATCATATCTTCTCGCTATATTTTTGAATAAAGGCGCGATGATTCCTACATATTTTAGAATCTTAGAAGGTCTATGAATCTCAAAAATCGTTCAAACCTACATATAATGATAATAGTAATAACATTGTAATAATAATAGTAATAATAACACGATAATAAAATAATAACAATTATCATGTAATACAAGAAGAAATATACAGTAATACAGTGTTAAATTCCTCTATCATCTCGGATGTCTTCAATATCTCAACCCAGTCCCAACCATTCAGGCCTAGTGTCGTGATTGACATCCTTAATAGGAAATGTACGATCTGGAATAATACCAAAGGGGGAACATTTGGAGACAGCAATTTGCAAGTGAAAAATACATTCCTCTCCGCTGTATTCGAGCAGAGTAGTTAACATTTTCTTTTAAACAACCGGGGTCTAGTAGCCTACATTTGCCCGCCTGGGCCTCGGCCGAGGAGATGACAGACGGCGCGGCCGCGCACCACTTCGCCTGTAATTACGCAGCCGCTCTGCATATTGACGCGGGCGCTCGCGGCCTCAATCATTTAGCGCCTCACAACCCATTCTCTCAGCGGCCCAAGGCGCCCCGCCGCCTCCACCGCCCCTGCGGCCGCAGAAGCTCCGCGGCGCCCGCACGCTCCCGCGCCCTGCCCCCCGCCACTGCCCAACGCCGCACCCGATCGCGGCCAACTGCCCACCGCCCGCAGGCCTCGCACTACGCCGCCCGCGCCCCATCTCTTTCTCTCAACCGACGCGCGCCCCGCCGCCCCACTGCCGCACCACCTTCGCACCCGAAAGCCCCACTGCCCTCACCGCTCCCGCCGCCTCCGCCGCCCCAAGCGGTGAATAATTTGCCTACCGTCCACGACCCCACCTGCGCGCGGACACTTCAAACTTTCAGCGTTGGATTCAATATTGCGGTCAGCCATCGCGGGTGTGGGGATGGCATCCGTATATAGCAGAAACTCAAGAAAAGTGAAATATCTTTTTGCCCTTCATTTTGATGCCAATGAGAAATTGGTTCAATTTATCTTTCAGCTGTGTTGCAAACTATGTTCATCAATTTTTACTAGTCAGTATATACCATTTTCTACGTATATTTTTTCACATAATTAATAAGGATAAATACATCAACCACAATAACTTTTAATGTCGTATAATTTTTAAACCATTATCCAAATATGTTTCGGGAACATTTTTTATCGGGAACACAAATTATCCTGGATTGGTGGAAAAATCTAAACAACCTCAACAAGTTTTTCCCATCCAGGTATCTTCCCTCAGCGGGGCACCGCCCCAGTCGGGACAAGTTCTAAGATTCTGACCGGTCTCTCGGCATGTGCAGTAGTGTAGTGCTAGTAGGTGTGTGTAAGAGGAGAGGCCAAGGAAAAAGAAAGAATGATTGTGCGCGGTCCGTGGCCCTTTTGTTATGATACTGCTCCGTCACTCGCATGATGTTCATCGCAGAAACCGCAGAAAACTACCGATAAGATTAACTAGAATGCTCCTCTAAGCAGCGGCTGAACCACCTCAGTCGGTTGTGCAACTTATCACCATCCGGGGCTATCATCGATAGGCTCATGAGCCATCTTGTCCGAATAAAATGGCTGGCGGACATGAGCTTACCAACTACATCAACGCATTGTTTGTGAGACTTGGTCAAAGTTACCAGGGTGTTTGGACCCAGAGGTATGACTCAGCCAGTGAGGAGGCGCTTGTAGAATGCAGACCTCGGGTGTGTGGAAAAGAGAATACAGTTTGCAAGATACAGAGTACAAGATACGTATACAGGTGCTGGTATCTCCACACCGCACAACACTTTGGCTCAACATGTCACCTTAGCGACCAGACCACTTCGGTAAGAGGTGCTGATTCTCCCAAAGGTCTCTGATGTCACTGCTGTGCTTCTGATCGAGAGGGTTCGAGTCCTGACGGTGGCAGGATTTTCAACACTACCTTGTCAGCTAATCGAATTGAGTCGCTGTCTGGAGGAGAATTCCATCTGTCGGCTGCTCTAATCGGTAGTTTTCGGTGGTTTCACCGTTCAACACCAGACGAATGCCGGAGCAGTATCTTATCAAATGGGCCACAGACTGCGTGAAATCTTTCTTACCTCTTCCTTGTTCTAACATCACTCCTTACTTACACACACACATGCCCTACACTACCACACATGCCAGGAGATTGTGTGGGTGCTTGGAAGCTGTCCCGGCTGGAGCGGTGCAAGCTGGTGGGAGATACGTGGTTGGAGGCAGCTCCCACTAGTCGAAGGTAGGTCGGCACCGGATCTCACCATCCAACGCGGAAGGATTTTTAGTCTGCCTCTCGAGGAAAACACATGTACTACACTTACGGGATGAATTACCTCAGCCGTTAACGCGCACGAAGTCACAAATCAATGAATCAATCCATCCCGAAGATCCCACCGCTTGCTCTTCTGCGCCGACAAACAAATGATGCCAGGCGTTTCAAAAGAAACGAACTTCTTTTGAAGGGCGTCAGTGGAATACCGAATTAATGGAATCTGGTCATAGAATTTGTGTTCGTGAAAACGAAGGTGTATCATACAGAATGTGTTGTATGCTAGGCTCGAATTTGCTCGATTTTTTTTCTTTCGATTGTGTAGAAGGTGGCCTATTTGAATGATGTATTGGGCAGGAGGAGTATCACAGGCTCATTTATAATGCATTCGAATAGGACATAATGTGCCAGAAAAGTGTGTGGAAGAATATCGGTTTTTATTACAGGTCTCACCAAAAACATTTCCTTATTACATTGCAACAACTTCTCTGAAGAATATTGAATGAGTTCGCATTTTTCTCTATCTATATTAGGTTTCATTACGTAGATTTTGGTCATTTTTCTTCCGCATTGGTCAAAGGGTTCGTTTCTTGATGCTTGCCCGTTTTGACGAGGAAATGTCATATAAAACATTTTCAGGTACCTAAACGAAGTATCCAACCCCTTTTTTAAATTAAATAGGATGCCTCGTTAATGAAGAAGCGAATAACCACGCAGAAATTGCATGTATTAAATAACAAACATTTAACTTGGGGAAAGGAATATTGATCATAAAATAAGAAGAAAAGGCCACCTGATAGATTTTTGGCTTAGACACTCATCGAGGAATATCAATCCCATTGAATTATTCAAGGGCTTCAATTGCAAAACGAAATATCCCGGACCATGTTCGTGTATAGTTTATGAAGGAACAATTCCGGTCGTATTTTATTCCAATTGCGTGACGTTATCGTGATCCATTGGTCAAAGTAATAATTGGTATATCAACAAAACTTTTCTCGCTCAGTATATGAAATGGAGGATTTGAATTTTATTTTCATCATAGAACATTTAACTTTTAGGAAGCAAAAATATTTATTATAGAAGGTAAAATGGAAAAGGTGAAATATTCCTGTAACCAACATTCTATTTTGTTTTATGATCCTGATACGTACAGTTTGTGGTAGAAAAAAATATGGTTATGGAAGAGCCAAAAGACAAAATAAACTTTTGTGTACTGTGAATTTGAAGACTACATTGACTGCGTGTTATAAATAAACCGCGCGCTCTCGCTTCCAGATCCAAATCGTGAACGGCGTGGTGCTAGTGAGCTGGCGACAGAAGGTGCTAGAGAGACAGATCGACTACGGCGCGAAACTAGGCCATGTCGTGCTCAGTTTGGCCAAAATGGAGCTCAACAATTTCTACAAAAATGTGATGCCGGTCGCAGACTACTTCGACCAACGCGGCATGCTCTACGCGGTGAGTAGACCAACGTAATCCTACTTGCGAGACATTTATGTTCTAGTACTGATTTAATGCTCATAATTGGGTATCATTTTACCTCACTTGAAACAATTACAATAGTTTTTTTGTGTGTTGCATGCAAA